TTTTTTTTGAACATGTTGACATTGATGAAATAGTAAAGTGGCAGAGTTGAAACTTTAATGTATTCCAGGTGAATGTATTCGCCCTGATCAAGAGTGTGAAAAGCCATCCAAACAACTACAACAATTCTGGTTAGTATTGCCTCTAGATTTTTGCATTAATAATATCGAGTTTTCAATGGTTTCATCCGTACATTTTGACAATCTCGTTCGAAATTGTTGCTTACCTCATCGTAGAACTCGTATTCTCTACAGAACAAACCGTTAACGAACTCGAGCTGATAGACAACAGTCAGAGTGCACCAGTTAAATGCACTATCTATACGGACAAGGACTCTGTTCTAAACGAGCAACTGCAACGAGGAAGAATCATCAGAATACATCGCATTAATGTATGCTTTTATGTTCATCTATTAGATGTTTGAAAGAGCCAAAGGCAGTTCAAGAGGATTGTCTAAACATTTGCTTCAGCCTTGGCTGAGGCTAACTCGAGCTTAGTGCAAACTGAAGTGAAGTTGAACTTGGATATAATATATGCGCGTCATTAATGTATCAAAATTGTGACTTTCTGCTTGAGTGACTCTCTGAAGTGTTCAACGTTTTCAAACGACGATCCTTTTACAAATTTTATTATTTTGCAATTTTGTTCGGTTTCGTTATGCGGTTTTTGCGTGAAACAGTTTAGGATTACCTTCGAAAATTTATTTTCGCTAAAAAAATTGCGTGCAATCGCAAACATCAGTTCACTCTATTTTATGAAATTCCTTTTTTGTAGGTGAAACTCGAAGGGAAAGATCAGCGGCCAGCACTTTATGGAAAACTTCACGTTGCTGGATTCGCATGTGTGCTGTTCACAACTAGTGTTAATAATTATAATGCAATTTATAGTTCAACAAAGAAATTTACGGATTCTTCAAATAGGAATATCTTGGTTAGTTTGCATTCATTGAGCATGTTTTTTGAATTGATCGACACACGTTGTCACACGCCTCGTTACCAGTTGAGAATTTGATTTTCGTCTCATGTTTTTCTTTGCATTCGTTTTCTTTTGTTTTCAGTCATTATTATTATTATGATTTATCGTTTGTTGGAGTGTTATGTGGACGATTTGAGGAATTGTGTTGTCAGTAAAATATTCAGGACTTCTGAATGAAACTGGAAAAATTGCCCTCTCATATTAGTTTACTTTATTGTTGAAAGTGATCCGTAATCTTTACTATAGCATCCTTTGTTTGTTCAGATCGATACACTACGTAGTCACTGGTCACGGCTTGAAGCCGAAAATGTGAACCAGCAATCTGATGAAAATAATCAGCAGGTTGCTGCTCAGACTCGCCCAGCTCCTACTGTTCTCGTTTCAAAATTGAGCGAATTTCGTCGATATATTTATCTGAACATTGTTGTACAGGTGAATTGAGAGTTTTTTACAACATTTATTTTGCTGCTCATTTGCGCCGAATGTTAATAGAATAGTTATACTTATCGTCGTAGCGAAGCAATTAAATAAGAATTTTGATTTTGAGTGAACTTATTATGTGTGGATGATTTTAGGCTTTGAAGGTGTTTCAAAGTGAACGAGGTGATTTGGTGATTAGGAGTTGGGATACGAGCCAAATAACATCGTAGGTTGTTTTTGATAGATAGTCTCTGTTTTGGCACTTTGCAGAAGTGTGTAATAAATATATGGCGCTCTATATTTTGACAAGTGAATCTTTTTTAAGTGCAATCCCATTCCATTTCGAGGACCGCTGCATGTCGAAAGTATTGAGCAGTATTGAGCATGTTCCCGAGATTGTTGATGCGATATCGTACGATATCGTACTCTATGGCGAGCACGCGCAACTGGCAGCAACTCTAGTAAAGGTATTGCTTGTGACGATTGTCGCAGTGCTCCATCAATATCTTATGTTTTCTTAGTATTACTTTATGAGCACTGTTTATAACGCTCAAGAAACGAATGATAAGGTGATGAAATGAAGCGTTTCATTTGATGATGCTAAATGCATTGTCTGATGGCTTAAGTGCTGGTTCAAAAAAGAATTAATCAGCTTTTTGGAATGTTTCTTTTTGTCGGTGAACGTTATGAACCTTCGTTTCTGCTTAATGGTTCATTTTAATATGTTATTTAACATTGGTTATTGTGCGATACTATGAACCACGATACTCCATTAGAAAACTGTTTTAATGTATACTTTCCTTTTTTTGTAGATCAATTTGATTTAAGGCTGGTGATGTGATCTTGATGAGGAATGTGCACTTTTTTGTGAATCATTTGGATCAGATGCTGGTGCTGCATGACGGCTTTTCATACAATCGAGGACTTGAGGTGC